CTCATTTTGCCGATGGCTGCCGTCCACACGGGGGCATTGGCACCCTCACGTGAAGTCAGTCCAGCTCCCAGAGCTTGGTGCAGGCTGCCTCGGTTGGACAGTTACATGAGTCCCCTTCTCCCAGCTATGCACAGGCCACCTCTTGCTGGGGTTGCCCTGGAACACCCAGGGGGAAGAAACAAGTCGAGGGGAGAAAATCAAAGGCAGGGAACAGTTACCACCACTCCTTCGCCTCTTTCCTAGGGATACTGCCAAGGGCTAGCCCAGCCCAAAGTCAGCTGACCAAGGAACGAGGTGTGTGGCCTTCAGGAGAGCTGAAGGGACAGAGCCACGGCTCCACAGGGTGTCATGAAAACCCCCAGTCTCTGGCAAATGGCAATCCCCAAATAGCTAATGAGCCAGGAGAGGGGATGACCCTCTTTCTGTGGTTCAGAACAGTTGGTCCCTAGCCTGTGGCCTGAGGCCAAGAGGGAGGTCTCAGACCTGGGGAGTGAGGGAGCCTGGGTGCCAGGGAAGCTCTCCCACTGTCATCGATGGCCCCTGCTCATTGGCCAGCCCCTCTTGGTTTCTCCATCTGTACAGAGGTGGGTGGGGAGAGCTTCTCTAGAAAGTTCTTCCTTACATCAAGCCCTGTCTCCTGTACCAAGAATGCTTAGGGGGCAGCTCCAGGAGGTCCACGGCTGGGGCTGGGGGTGCGGCAGGGCAAGGTGTTTGGCTGAGTGGCCCAGACTTCCCTGCTTCCCTGTACCCTCTCCTGTTCCTTTCCTCCAGCCCCATACCTAGTCCCCACTGTGCTCTTGCCCTTTCCTGCCCCCTCCGGAGCCTTGGGCCTTGGTCGGTGCCCCTGACTCTTACATCGTCAGTGGCTCTCTGTCAGCTGTCTCCTCCTGGGACCTTCTCAAAGGCACTCTCGGCCCAAGAAACAAAGCCAAGAACGAGAGGCCCGCCCTCAGGCCCGTCTCCCTGTAGCCTTCACACTCACTGTGTAAGAGGAACCCACACGCCCTCTTCTTACTGACCACCCCCTCCTTGTCACCTGCCTCCAGCGCTCCCCCTCCCCCACGCCGCATGCTTTCTTTCCCAGGTCTTCAGCCAACCAGCGCCACACCCCCACACCCCTCTTCCTGGGACCGGTAGCAGCCGCCCCTCCCCCGCTGCCTGGTTTCTCCCTGGGGACAGCAATTCCTCAGACCAGCCTTGAAGTGGGGGAACTCCTGGCTGGGCCCCAGGGCCCTCTCTTTTCAGAGTGTTCACTTTCTCCCCAGCTGAGAGCATAGCCCTTTCCTTCTCCCCTCCTCCTAGGCCTTGGGGGCCACCATCAAGCTGGGGCCTCCCAGATCAGTACTCACCTGCAGCCCCATGGCAGGCTGAAATGCCCACACAGAGATGTGCATGTCCTAAGCCGTGGAACCAGACTGGGACCTTATTCGGAAACAGGGACTTTGCAGATGTGATTAAGTTAAGGATCTTGACATGGAGAGATCATCCTGGATTATCTGGGTAGGCCCTAAATGCAGTGACAAGTGTGCTTATAAGAGGGAGGCAGAAAGAGATTTGACACACGCACACACACATGCACACACACACGCACACGCACACGCACACGCACAGAGAAGGAAGCCATGTGAAGACAGAGGCAGAGCCTGGAGTGGTAGCCACAAGCCAAGGAATGACCGGAGCCACCAGAAGGGGGAGAGGCAGGAAGGATCCTCCCCTAGAGTTTTTGGAGGAGCACGGCCCTGCTGACACCATGATTTTGGACTTGTGGCCTCCAGAACTGGGAGAGACTCAATCTCTGAAGTCACCCGCTTGTGGTCCTTTGTTACAGCCTCCCCAGGAAACTCCTACCAGTCCCCGACCTGGCCCCCAAGAAGTCCTGGGCCCCCTCAACCTTGCCTGCGGCATACCTCCCCTCGGACCTCCCAGGCGCTCGGCCTCCATAGAGTCTACCCCAGAGGTTCTGGAGAGCCAGGGTTCCTCTCTCATTCTCAGGAACAGCTCAGGGCTGGCTATGGGGAGCTCTGGCCTCTGGGGCGCGCAGCAGGCCTCGGGGCCCTTCAGCGTCAGGGCGGCCCCGGGCTCTCTAGGGCTGCAGGGGCCCTGCCCCACAGGTCCAGAGTGGGGTTGGCTTTGTCTTTTCCTGCAACCCCTGCCCTCCCAAGACCAGAGCCCAGAGCCCTGTGGGGACAGGGCCTGGAGCCCATGGAGGGACCAGAAGTGAATGAACACTGCCGCCCAAGTTCTCAAAGCAGCCCCTCCACCAAACCCTTCAGGCCCCTCAAGGAGGGGTTGTCCTTCTGAGGTGCCCTGCCCCCATCCCCGGCCGTGGTCTATGGACGCCTGGCTGGCTGCCCTTCCAACAAGCCCTAACTTGTCTAAACCTAAGCAGTGGATTCGGCTTAGGCTCCAGCTGGGCCCCGCTACGTCCAGAAGGCGCCTGACCTGCAGCAAGTACTTGGAAATGTCCCCCCACCCCAGCCCCATGTGGCTGAGAATGCTCCTTGGCAGCCACTTCCTTCACAGGACAGCCCTCCCTGAGGGAGCTGCTCCCGTGACTTTCATGGTGTGCGCTCGTGCGCGCGCGCGCGCACGTGCGTGTGTGTGTGTGCGCATGCACACCTGTGCCCGCCTCAGCTCACTCTCTGGCTTAGGCCCCTCCTCTGGGCTGCATCCACACACCCAGAGTGCCTGGGGTGCTCCCAGCCTCGGGTGGTATTCCTTGCAGCCCCTTCCTCTTCCTCCAGAGGCCTCAGACCTGGGGGTGCCCCACCCCCATCCTGCCCACTTCCTTCCTGTCACCGCACATCCTATCTGTCCCCAAGTCCAGCGGCTGGAACCCGGCCCCTCCTCCCATCGTTCCTGCTGCTTTGGGGCATAGCTGAGGCGTTCTAGCTGGGTCCCCCTGAGCCCATCCACCCACCCACCGCCCAGAGTGGACCAGCCCAGCCCCTGTAGCTTTGCCGCCCTGGGGTTTCCCGGGACCTCAGCCAGGCCCCGAGCTCCATGAGGAGGGCACCCCGCGTGGCGTGAAGTGTACATGAAACTGCATACTGGACTGGTGCCTGGCAGGGATCACCTTCATTTGCCCTGGGGTTTATTTTTAAGCCCAACCAGCCCCAACTTTTGTATGGTCGTCATCATCATCATCATCATCTAATAGTTTGCAACACACTTGACAACAGAGTGAGACTAAGTAATCCACCTTCGACCAACTGCTCTGGGTGTAGAACCGTGTTTTCCAACCATGACTCACAAGCTCTTGTGGGGCATGGCCCTGGTCACCCCCCTGGGCTCCTGCCACAGGGCCCAAATGGTCCCCTGGGTGCCTCAGGGCCTCTGGTCTGGGCAGAGTGTGGGTCCTGCCCACAGGGCACTGTCCCCTACTGTGTAGGGTGACCCACAAGACCCACAGGACACCTTCCCTAGGGCCCAGCCACAAGGGTCTTATGCGCATTATTACACTTGTCTTACTAGGTTTTTTTTTGAGAGAGAGAGAGGGCACATGTGCGTGAGCAGGGGGAGGGACAGAGGGACAGGGAGAGAGGAATCCCAAGCAGACTCCAAGCTCATTGCAGAGCCCAACATGGGGCTCTACCTCACAACCCTGAGACACGTCCCAAGCTCAGGTCAAGAGTCGAATGGTTAACCGACTGAGCCACCAGGTGCCCCACTTGTCTCACTAGTTTGTCCTGGCACCTCCGTCCCTGAGTGAGAGGGAGGCAGAGAGGAGAGGAAGGGCAGGAAGGCTGGGAGGGAAGACAAAGATCTCTGGGGGCTACGTTGGACCTGCACGACACAGTTTGGTGCCCCAGACCGGCCCACAGAGAAATGGCCTGAGGGCTCCATGTCTCTGTCTCCTCCAGGCCCCAGGTCTGGCTGTCCCTCTTCCCGGCCAGTGAGGGGACTTGACTGAGGCCCTGTCTCCTGGCCCCTGGCCAGTGCCCGTGCCCTGAGCCTGCCCAGCTCAGCAGACATGGCCCAGAATAGTGCTATGATGCCGACGGGTGACATTCTATCACAGGGCCACCATGCTGAGCGGCGCCTCCCATCCCCAAAAGGGGAAACTCAGGGACGTCGGGCACCCTGGTGCCAGGCCAGGCAGAAGGGCATGCAGTCCTGTGCTCGGAGCCAGCCCGGGGCGCCTCTGAGCTCCTTCTCTCCTGGGCTGGCTCTCCTCATGGGCCCTGCCTGCTCTACTTTCACTGGAAAGCCCAGGCCCCCACCACCTGAGGCAGAGGTCCCTCGTGGGGAACGAAGGACGAGCAGCCAGGCTCTAGCCCACTACCTCCTCAGTCTGCTGGGCTTGCCGTCCGAGGGCACATTGCTCTGGGGACTGTCCCTCCCATGCCCATGCTGCCCTTTCTGGGCCAGACCTGTATTCCCAGCGAGTAGGCTTCTCAGGCCGTGTCCTGGATCCTTTCTTGGGAGCCGGCGACAGAGCGTTGCAACCTGGGCTTGGCTCTGCGCGCACACAGTGTGACCTACTGGGTGGAGGCTCTGCACGGGGCCCAGGCCAGGCCCGCCCAGGTGGGCGCGCACAACTTGCTGCCCGGTCTCTGTGAGGCCTGGCCTGCCCAGGTGTGCGCCCCCTGGTGCTGACTTGGGTGCTGTGCACAGTTTTGATAACAGCCGGGATCTAGTGTTGTTCTGAGCCCCCAAATCCCATCAGGACCGGCAGGCAGGGCCCCTAGGATTTCCAGGCTCCCCTCCCAGAGTGAGGGTCTAATCTGGTACTCTGAAGATGGCAGGTGCTTGGCAAGTGCTCCATTCTGGGAGGGCAGATGCTCCCTCAGCCAGGACAGCTGGGGCAAAGCAAGTGCCCTGAAGAAAGTGGAAGGGGCCTCCTTGTCCAGTCTCGGATCTGGAGGTACTGAGGACTCTGGCCCGCGGGCAGGGAAAGCAGCAAAGAGGAAGCCCGAGGCTCAGAGTGGCCCATCGTGGCTCCCCTCTCCGCTCAGTCCCCAGCGCCCCGCCCCCCCATAAGTGGCAGCACACAGAGCCATATTGCACAGTGTTTCTTTAATTGGAAGACAACAACCGACCTCAGAAGCAGCCCCTCCTCAAGCTGGGTGTGATTGCTTGAAACCCCCACCATACCAGGGGCCAGAAGGCGAAGGGAGGGAGAATTAGCCATCATGGGGGGAAAGAGGAACAAGGAAAGCTGGCTGGCGGCTCCAGCGGGATGCCGGGCCCTTTGCAGGGCCAATGCTCCCCTTTGGAACAGTGGATGTGTGCGGGGCACATCACCTCCACCTGCCGGCCTCCTCCAGGACAGTCCAGACTTGGGGGCAAGGACCGCGTGGGGCAGGCTTGGGGACAGCTGCCCACTGTCCCCTGGCTTGCCTGGGTAAGGGCTGGGCAGAAGCCCAGCGAGACAGACACTGGACCCAGCTCAGAGATGTGAGAGAGGAGAGGAAGGATGAGAGAGATAGATGGAGATAGAGAGAGAGGGAGAGAGAGAGCCAGAGAGCCAGAGAGGAAGATACTGGTCTAGAGGCCAGTAGAGCAAAGAGGCTCGGATAGATGGGCCATGAACTTGCAGAAGGGTGGGGGGCACGAGAAGCCAAGGGTAGCAGGCCAGGCCAAGGATGGTTGGAAGCTGGAGGAATGTGTGCCAGGCAGGTGGGGTGGGCTGTCTCCATCCTTGTTAGCCCCTTCCCACCCGCTTGACCCAGGGTCCATCTGTCTTGGACTGGAGTCTTGGGCAATTTGATTTCAGGGCGAATGGGAAGAGAGCTTTATGAGGGTGCCTCTGAGTGGCTATGATGGGGGGCGGGGGCAGGGGCAGCTCTGAAGCCAAGAGGCATGTGATGGTGGCTGGGTCTTGTGCCCCATCTGCATGCTGGGGAGCCAGGATGAGGGTGTCAGGAGGCAGCGAGTTGGGGTCCAGGATCAAGGGCGGGGCTGGGTTGGGTGCAGCTGGGCGCTGGCTTCGCTCCTTGGCTCTGCCCTCCCCTTCACGATGTCTGCTGTGCTCCCCAGAGGCCCCGCCCAGGCCATCACAGCGGCTGCTTGCCGCTTCTACTTTTTGTAGTTGCCAAACTGGATGGCCAGGCGGTCGGTGACGCAGCGGAAAGTGGCCGGCTGCACCTCCCAGTAGGGCACGGGGTTATTGAAGAGGCTGATGCCGTTGTAGTATGCCCGCTTGACCCCGAAGCCCACAGGACAGAAGTCGTTGACGCCCACCTTGGTGATGTTGTTGGTGTGCAGATAGACCACCTGGGGGCAGAGGGGTGTGGCTCAGGCCCAGGGCTGGCAGCCGAGTCATCCCCTGACCACCCTCCGAACCTGGTCCAGCCTGGGTGGGCCAGGTGGAGGGCAGACAACAGAGGGCTTGGGCCCTCCCTCCTGGCTGAGTCCCGCCTGGCCATCTCATGGGTGCGATTTCATTGCAGGGCTTGCCCTTTTGAGGCTTGGGTGTGGTTGCCAGGTGGGTGCTGGGTGGGATTTTAAGGTGCTGGTGTGTGACCAGGGGCCGGGACGAGGGACCCACATGCGGTGTATGGTGGGTGGGAAGTGAGGGGCCTGGAAAGATGGCACCTTGGGCTCACAGAGGGTCCCTGGCCCTCCCTCTGGGTTTCCCAAACTCCAGGCCTGCCCCTGGGTGCAGCCTCTCACTCCAGAGACCCATAGGTATGAGAGGAGAAAGAGCCTGCAGATGACCTCCTCCTCCTTCCAGTCCGCAGGGGTGCTTGCTCTCTAGCAGCCCTCAACTTTCTGAAGCCCCTCTCTAGGGGAGGGACGGAGGAAGCAGGAGGGTGAGTAGGTAAGGAGCCCCATGGTGGTGCGGAGGTGCTCAGCCTGCAGCTGCGCCCTCTAGAGGCAGAGAGGACACCGGCCGCTAGAGGGCGCGCTTAGCCGGGCGTGGGCCTCCCTGCCGCAGCTTCTGGCCTGACCCTCTCCCCCCGCCCTCACCGGTCTGGACTTGGCTCTGGCTGGACAGCCTGTGAGAATGGCAGGTCTCCTGGCGAGTATGAATGGGACCGAGGCAGAGACTGGAAACCAAGCCAGGGACAGGGGTCCCTGAAAGAACCCCAGGCAAGACCCTGCACCCCCTCATCAGCCTACTTCCGGCTCTGAGCTGAACCTATCTTGCCACAAATCTGTGCACCTCCGATGCCCAGACTGTTCTCTGACCTCCCAGGCTCTGCCATGCCTTTCTGGTGTCCCACACACCTAGGAAAACTTCAGCTGCAATATCTACCAGGCCAACTCCTGCTCACGCCTTGAGCCCCCTCCCCACCCATGACCTGCCCTCTTTGTCATCCCCGGTGGAGTCCCCGCTCGCCTTCCCTACTTCCTCAGCACTGATCCTTGTGATTGCTTCTTTGCAGATCAGGAGGTGGAGGCAGAGAGAGCAGAAGACGCTGGCCAGATCACACACACCAAGGTCCTGTTCCACTCTGTCTTACAGAAGCTGGCATGGGGGCTGCCCACGGCTCTCACCTGGAGGAGCTTGAGGTCCGGAAGGCCAGAAGGCACCCTGGACAGCTTGTTATTGTCCAAGTGCAGCTCCCGCAGGGTGGGCAGGAAGCTTAGGCTCCCGTTCTCGATCATGCGGATCTGGTTGTGGCCCAGGCCCAACCTGCAAAGGGCAGATGAGATGTACCAAAGGCTAGAGGAGAAAAGAGCAGTGGGGCAGGGCACACTGCTTGGACCCCCAGACCACCTGTACAGCTTGGAGTAACGGAGCAGATCCTCCAGCTCGATGGCCTGGATTTTGTTGTGGTCCAGATGGAGTTCATTCAGGGTCTCGGGGAGGTCTGCCAGGAAAAGAGGGTGTTCTGAGTGGAATGCAGGAGGGGAGGCCACGTGTGCGGGCTGGGTCTGTATGTGGGGTGGCGGACGGGAGCACTACCAAAGCCCTCCCTGAGTTGATTGGTGGCTCCAGATGTCTCCAGCCCCCCGCCCCCCATCCGTGCCCATCTGTGCCATGGAGGCCGGAGAGCAGGGGGGAAAGGGGCTGCCTTCCTACCTTTGGGGATGCCGGTGAGCTTGGCCTCAGAGATGCGAAGGTAGTTGAGCTTCAGGCCATCGAAGGCTCCAGGCTCAAAGCCACTGTTTTCCAGGGGGTTCCCACCCATCTCTAGGAGAGAAGCCCTGCTCAGTCCTGGCGCCGGAGCTGGGCGGCCGCCTGCCTGCACAGCCCCAGGTCCTGCGGGCTTCCTGGCTTGGGCTAGCCTGACGGGCCCTGCTCCCCCAGCTCCCCCTGAAAGCAGCTCTGCTAATTTACTGGGCTGATTGCAAACTCCTGGCTATTCAAGACCATTACCTCCCAAGGGTGTTGGCTCAGGCATCGACCTCCGGGGGTAGGGGAAGCAGGAGGAAAGGGAGGGGAGCCAGAGATCAAGGTGGGGCTCCACCCCAGACTGCTCAGCCCCTCTGGCTGGGCCCATGGTGGTCCCTGGCTGGCTGGCCCTTTCCCTCCCCTCTCTCTATGGTCCCCAGGTTTCTCTTCATTTTGCCTTGGCAGCCCTGGGGCATGCCCCCAGACAAGCCTCCAGAATGTTCTATGAGGCCCACCAGGCTTGTCCGTGGCACCAAGCCACTCTGGCTGCAAGAGGCCGCTCTCCCTGAGCCCTCCCTGCTGGCCACGGGGTGAGGCCTGCCTGTCACGGGCCGGCCGCACTCACCGATGCAGTTCATGTTGCGCAGCCCGCTAAACACGCCCTTTGGCACCTTGCGGATGCGGTTGTCATGGATGCGGAGCTCCACCAGGGAGCTGGGCAGGTTAGGAGGGATCTCCACCAGGTGGTTCTTGGAGATATAGAGCTTCTGCAGCTTCCGCAGGGGGCTGAAGGCCTTCTCGTGGATCTTGGAGATCTTGTTGTTCACCAGGACGAGAGCCTGGGGCAGGGAGGGCGTGGGAAGTGAAGGCACCAGCTCCCCACCGCGCCCTGCCCTC